GAGACCCTGAATGCGACTGCTTCCCACCCTAGTGACATTTAGCTTGGGTATGTCCCTTGCTTGGACTTTCCAGAGCAGCACCCTGGTGAATGACTATTGTCTTACCTGAAGGGTCGTTTTCAGGGCGCTGTGAAGGAGAGTCCAACCCTGTTCCACTGTTTTCAGTGCAGTCTTCTGTAGTCCCAGTTGGATTTGTGCTTACGTTGGATATGGTTTTTTGGACTTATTGTTGAACATCTCAGCGTGCAACAGTTCCACGCCTTCATTGAAAAAAATCTGAAGACAGTCAGCACCAGAGGCGTGGCTTAAAGTTTCAATTCAGTTCTGGGCAGATTGGCTGTATTTAACCCTTGCTTGGACTCTCCTTTGCAGCGCCCTGAAAACGACCCTTCAGGTAAGACAATAGTCATTCAGTGATTATTTGAACTTATGATGGTGCTGAAGGATGGGCTTGAGTAGTGCTCATGTTTATGTCAATTGCAGCAACCTGTGGTCATGTGATCACCATTCACTTTTTTGTTGTTTTCCTATTAGCAAAGTCAATGGAGAAAGTGGCAGGATGTTGTAAATGCAAAGATGTAACTATGCAAATCCTTGCTTAATGATCTGTAATTTGCTTAACAGTGGCAACTGAGAATGTTGGAATTTCTGTTAAGGTGTAGGGCCATGTGACATTGTGCTTTACAGCCACATCACTTAAGGCAGAAACTCAAATCCCAATTACTTTTGTTAAGTGAGGATTACCTGTAACCTAAACCATTATTCCCATTCAGACACCTATTTATTTTCAAATAGACTACATTTCTTTTGACTTACCCATAGACTGTCTCTTCTGATAAGAGACAGACTCTGTGTCAGCAGGACTCTGAAGGATATGTTTTTCAGGTTCTGGGGTCAGTGATGCAGGAAATATAGGGAGAAGTATGAAGATGGAAAGATTAGCAAATATAGGAAAACCCATTAGTGAATTGCACGTGTTGCTGAATTTTTAGACTTTATGAGACATGAGTCCCTTGTATAATAGTATTAAAAAATGTTGTCATAAATTTTCCTTCTTAAACAGGACCAGAAATAGAACTAGAAGAATTTGTGAGTTAATTGTGATAATTTTTAATCAAGTTATGACCACTTGTGATTGACCGTACTTAATGAGCTGGACTTTAAATCAGTCTGTGAAGCTGCAACCACTGCAGTATCACCATAGTCATGTGATTGCAATCTGGGCACTCAGGTGCACAACTCGCGATTTTGACATAGCAGCAAGTCACAGATATGATTGCCATTTGCGACTTTCCCTGCCAGCTTCCCACAAGCAAAGTCAACAGGGAAGCTGGCAGGGAAGGTCACAATAACACCTATAAGTTGCTGTCACTATATTTTCTTCCAATGAGCCCAACTATGGAGGACGATCCCACAGAGTTCATTCATTTTAGCAACTTTCCATTGGTAGTATAAGACCTGCTGACACACCCATGCTTGGAAATGCTGTCCATGATATCCACTGGCCCATGGCCTCAGAAGTGGTCCCTGCTGGCGCTCCCACAGTCCATAGTGATGCTCATGATCCAGAGAAGCTGCCTGTGATACCTGCCTGCACTCCTTAATGCCAACCTGCATGCCCCCACTTAGTGACAGCACAGTCCTGCTTTTGTGGCACTGCCATTACTAAGTAATGCAATATGACATTGTGCTTTAAATTGCATCCGTTAGCAACATAATTTTGATCCCCGTTGCCATTGTAACACAAGGACTACTTGTAATGACAGGTTTTTCATATTAGTCAAAATTAAGCAGACAATATTAACAGGATTGTCCTGAGCCTCTCACATTATTACATATATATGTATATGTGTGTGTTCTGTTATAGGAGTCATCTTCTTGGGTAGGTGGAAATAGTGAGCCTTTGACTGGCTTTACATGGAGAGGAGGGTGTGAGAGAGAAACAACTGGCATCCAGATTTGGAGTGAAGTATTCATAATTCCCAAACCTGATGGGACAAAGGTAATCCATTAAGCATCTGACATAATGCTTATTGACTTACTGAACAGAGAAAGCAAAAAGTGAATGTGAAATATTTTGATCCGTCTTCCTAATATGAGTTGATGTGATGTTTTAGATACCTCAGAAATATATTGTCAGGATTCTCCAGGCATGGAATTTCATGGAGTCAGCATTGCCAGATTGCAGACAGAAATAAATTTTCCATATATACAGTCTACCTCCTGCTGTTAGAACTCGATAGGCACTTGGCTGTTTTCTTCCTAGCTATGAACAACAACAATACTTTAAACATATTTACATAATGGCCTGAGAATCATTGACTCATCAGTTTCAGCCTTACTGTATACTTGTTTAGTATTGTAACTAATTATAATGTTCAGAATGTCTAATATTATATGTAGTATAATGCATAGATTTGAACTTTTGAAAATACCAAGTAATATTTACTCTGTCAGAGTAATTTTTTAAACACATTTTTATTATTTTTATATATAACTCAAGGCAGCAGACATACCTAATGCTCCTTCCTCCCCCTATTTTCCCTACAACAACCCTGTGGGATGGTCAGGGTGAGAAATTGTGACTGATTGACCCAAAGTCACCC